TAGAAGATTGAACAAAACCTTTTACATTTGAGGGACTTGCGAGTGCTCGGGTACAATATAGCCAGCTGATCACTGGTATCGACCCCCTTCATCCCACAGTTGTAGTCTGCAACTACTTGGGGTTTGATCCTCTCAAACCCTGTGCGGGACCCGGTGGCGACCATCTCGCTTTTGTGGATAGTCGACAGCAACGTCACTTCACGCCTGTCGCGCCATTGCAGGCACAACATGACTGTAGGCGTGCTGTGACTGTCCACATCTCCGCGGCTTTTACCTGCAGATCAGTAGGCATGAATTTGCGGGTGGCACGCACTGTGCCAACCGCGTTCATGCCCCTGCTCTGCAGGCAATGAAAAAGGGTAGGGGACGTATACCAATTATCGGTATATAAGTCATACCCTTTTTCAAATAAGCCCGCTGTGCCCATCAAGTGGATGACAGCCCTCTGAGATGCGGGTATGTCGCCTCTGTCCTTGCCCGTGTAAGTTTCGAAGGCGCATATGTAGCCTTGCTGGCCTTCATTGACAGTGAGCTTAAAAACCTTTACCCTGAAGCGTGAGCACTTGCTGGGGTTGAAGGTCACGGCTACAAGCGCCCCCGAAATTTCCAGAGAAACTCGTCGACCGTAATCTTCCTGGGAGGAGTATAGACCGACGAGAACCGACGCTGGAGAGTTTCGATAACTGGCCGCAACTTCCACAGGCGGTCATCGGGAGGATGACTCCCCTCGTTGTCCACCATGTGGAGGGAGCGCCTCAGCTGATCAAAACAATCCTGCGTCATAGTCACTGGGAACAAGGGACTGAGGTGAATAGATCGGTCAACCAGTAACTCCTCTGCTCGGGCTTAGGATTCAACCTCATGGCCATTCTGATGAAAGATCCTAAGTTCTGAGGCAGAGGTGTCTACCCAGTCCGTTATATGAGAAGACCTGGGTGCTGGTTTTTGACGGTGGTACCTGGAAAGATAGAAATACAAAAATTAGCCATTGTACACAATCTAATCATTATATATTCACATAATATATATATATATATATATATATATATATATATATATATATATATATATATATATATATATATATATATCAATTTACAAAAATATGTAAATGAAACAAAAAATTACGTGAACTTACCGGTTTGTCTCACGGACGATCACATTCATGAGTTCGTCGGTAAAGAACAAGGTGAATAATTCCAACGGACTGGAATCAGAGTCCACCCCGGGGTGTTGACCCCAGCCTGGGCCCTGAAATCAAACCTCTTGGGAACATCTCCTTCTTCCTCCACCGGAACCCAGGACAATTCCGCTCCGCAACCTGGGCGTAAGCAGACAGCGGCTCATCCGAATCTAGAGTCGTGTCGTGAGACACGAAATCTAATTCGGAATCATCGCCGCTGTCGCTACTGAGTTTGCTGTTGCTACTGAGTTCGCTGTTGCTGCTACTCTCGATACGTACCCGACCCCTCGGCACGAACCTCTCGCCGGATTCATCGTCCGACGAGTCGTCGAAAAAGTGCAAGGGGACAGCCGAGGTGGAAGGCTGAGGGTCGTTGGGAGAGGCAGCAGCGGCAGCAGATGAAGTGCGTGTTCCAAGGCATCTTCAGGGTATTCACAGCAGAAGTAGACTGAATAGGCCTGCCTACCACACCTCTGTATATTACCTTTGTCAGCCAATCATATTGCGCCATTTCCTTGGTTCTCAAATTATCCACCAGCAAGCAAACAATCCACAGGCAAGCAAACTACCTCAAGCCTCGTTCCCTCGTTCAACTACCATTAGCCTTGTCTGCAGTGATTTTCTCTTTTCTTTTCTATTTTTCTTTATTTTCTCTTTGCATATCAATTGCTTTGATATTACTCTCATTGCTGGCTGGCTTTTTTTTTTTTTTTTTTTTTTTTTTTTTTTTTACCCACATACGCACACATACGCATACACATACAGACACACACGCAAACACACACGCAAACACTCACGCAAGCGCGTGAGCGCACACACGTGCATACATATACACATGCGAATAGTACTGCTGCATACAGACGCACACAGATGCATGCGCATGAACATGCACAAATATATACGCATGCAAATAGTATTGCTGCATACACATTGAATCACACACACACACGTGCTAACATGCACACGCACACATATATATGCACGCGAATACTATTGCTGCATACACACGTGAGAGCGCAAGGGCACACATATACATACATACGCACGAGAATACTGTTGCTGCATACATGCATGCTGAATCACGCGCGAGCGCGCATACGCATACACATTTACGCACACGAATACCACTGCTGCATACACGCAAGCTGAATCACACAAACACACACGAGAGCACGCACATGCACACGAATACTATTGCTGCATACACACACACTGAATTACATTCTGATGCTCACACACACGCACATTCACATATATACACAAGCGAAAAGTATTGCATACACGCGCTCGCGGGCGCTGAATCACACCGCGACTGACATGTTTCGCGAGTCGCGGACCGATTGTCAACGTAATTTTGTAGACGCTTTCCTCTGAAGCCTGAGTATGTCTTATGAAATGTATAGTGCAAGAAAAATAATAATATTTATAAAAAAACTAATCCATCAATGTTTCAGTGTCAAAAAGAAAAGATTTTCATGTATTTGCAAAAAAAAGATCATGGCATGGCCATACATGCCACTGGAAAACGGGAGTGGCGAATTATGGCAAGTATGTACATGCCACCCGGTGGCAGTGGGTCAAGATCACTTACAGGTTTTTTGCCCTGTTTTTCATAAAACTCGTCAGATGCATCTTCACCACAAAATAAACAGTTATCAAGAAAATCAAAATCTAAGTCTTCAAATCTTAGAAATAGTTTGGGATCTGGAAAGGTTTTATGTCTTAATTGAAAAGTTTCAGCACTGTTTTCTTTTGTATATAATTTCCTACATTTTTCATGCACTGTGACAATTTTTCAAACTGAGAATATTTTGCATCTTTCCATTTAACCACTTGAATCCAGTTGCTTCATGGCAATCACATGGCTAAATGGCCACGCTATTTGTTGTTTGATTAGCTTTATCCAGTTAGTAATTGAGTGTTTTCTTTACACAGATGGCATATCATCACTCTGTTTATTGAATATTATGAGTAACATAACATGAATAAAAAAAATTGCAGATATGAAGATGCTAGAAAACCTGGCAGTAGTGTCTTCCAGCCCCCCTCTTCATCAACAAATACCACAATGCCTGCCTCATTCTATCCTGAGGCAAGACCTCAGCAGTATGGATACCAGCAGCCAAACTTCCCAGGTTATGACCAATATCATCACCACTACCAGGGTTACCAATACCAAGAATTTAGAGGAACGTAAGTATGGTGTATACTGATTATGCAGGATACATCTATTCTTATCGTCTTCCAAAAATGTATGTGTATAGTAAAAAAATCTAGTTCAAAAGAATAAGGTCATGATTCATTTCAGGTACCCTCCCAATGTCCCACCTGGACACCACTGGGGCCCTGCAGGTACTCCAGGTACAGCTCAGCAACAGCAGCAACCCTGGGCAGCTCACCCATCTGGCCATATCCAGCCTCATCCTCAAAGTGAACATCATTCCTCCAACTCACACCATGCATGGGACACCACTCAATATCATTCCTTGGAGTATCAGCGCAACTCCCATAATGACAGTCCATATGAGAACAAGAGTGCTGGCAGATCCAAGCTCGATGAACGCTTGGAGAAGATGGAGCCAGCCATCAATATCAACAACAAACCTCCCAAACACGAGTCTGAAGAAGAGGAGGACAAATCAAATTTGGACTTGGACACTAGGATTGCCATGCTGCTGCAGAACAAGGACAGTGGGATGGCTCCCCCATTCCTGGCTCTTGGGCTGGGAAGTGATGATGAGGAGGAGAAGAAGGAAAACATTGTCCAGGAGGAGAATAGAGTGAAGGAAAAGGAATCTAGTGGTCCCACTTCCTCAAGTAGCAGTACCACAGACTCAGATACTGGTTCTTCCTCTGATTTGGAAAGTGATAGTGAAGGTGGTGATAGTTCAAAAGAATCTAGCAGAGGGGAGGGCAAGTCAGACTGGGCTCTTCTTGCCAACATTTTAGAACCTCTGTCATCTCCTCCATCCCCATTCTTGTCACATGAGATGTACTTATATTGGCATGAGAAGGGGAATGAACTTAAGAAAGAAGCGCAAAGAAGAGAGAAAGAGGAAAATAGAGAAAGATTAAAAAAGCTCAAGAAAAAGAAAGTGAAAAAGAAAAGTAAAGAGACTAAAGGAAATGATAAAGTGAAAGAAATTAAGAGTGAAGTGAAAGTAGAGTCTATGCAAGAAGATAGTCAAGTAAATGGTATTGATGATGATAGGATGAGTTTATCTAGTTTAAGTTCAACTGAAGATCCGATCTTACATGTCCCTATTCCACCTGCGGGAAGTGCTGTTCCTCCACCTGCAGGACCTTTTACTGCTCCTCCCCCCGGTTACTCCCAGTATGCACCCCCTCCAGGTTATCCTCCCTCTTATCTACCCCCTGGGTATCCCCCCCCTCATGCCATGCCCCAGGAGGCAGCCTACCAATGGCAGCCACCTCCAGGTTATCCTCCTAATTTTGTGTCAGGATACCCAGGTTATAATACAGGTTATATGGCCATCCCATCAGGATATTCTTCCATAAGCCATCCACCACCAGGCCCTAGTGTTCCAGGCCAGGCACCATTTCCATCATATTTTGGAGCAGGCTACCCACCTACACAGGACCCTAGTGATTCCACCCACAAAAGTGGAGAGTACCACGACCCAACTATCAAGTAAGTTCTGTTTTTCTTATCATATATGATTATATTGAGTGAATTATGCTTTAGATGATTAAACTGTTGGATCCAGGTGGATACAGGCCAAAATTTGGCCACAAGGCTTACACGAGTGGTGACTCAACCTTGTGTGTAGGCCTGGCTCATACTAAAACTTGTGTGTAGGCTTACACATTACCTTTGTCTGGAGCCTGGGTCTAAAAGTTTTCATGACCCTTTGCCTCCCCATTGCATTGTTATCATCACTTTTTCAAATGAGCAATTTTTAATTTTTCTCCCCATTTTTCAGTCTTTTTGTTATGCTTCAACATCAAAAAATTGTTATTTGTGCAATTTTTTATATTTTCATATAATTGAGTTTTCCGTAATACACATTATGCCTCTTATCAAATTAGGCAGGAATAGGATCCTGAGCTTGGAAGTAGAGTTCACTCTGGAGCCATGGTTCAGGGATAGTGCATGCAAAAGTCCCTTTCCTAAATGTCCAATACATCTAATCTTTCTCCATGAGCTTTATGTACTCATGGCAAGACATCCATGTCACCCACCTCACAGCAACAGTATCTCATAACATGATATTCATGTCACCTGGGCCCTCAACCAGATTTTTCAATTACTAGAAAGCCCAGGAGTGATTCTCTAAGGCCAAAAGTGTTTGAATCTAATACTGTTTATAAGAGCAGAATGCAGTTAAAGGTGCTGTCACACTAGTACTTTTTTTTTCTTTTTTTTCTTTTTTTTTCAGTTTTTCATAAATTGTCAACTTTTTGAGATGCATAGTCACACGGGTTGAAAGAACGATTGTGTCAGTCACGGAAAATGATATCATTGTATGCTTTCCTTTTTAATTTATTCTTTTTATACTTGTCATCTCTGATATCCCAGAGGCAACGATTCTGACGAATACTATCGGTGAGAAATTCCTCAGAAAGGCATGTCCAGGAAAATTAACAGGATCTGTGATATCAAAAGTGGAGAGGAATGGCATGCACTGCTCTCACGAATGTAAACATTCTTGCGAATACTTATATCAAATTTTATTAATGTCAATTAAGGATAGATTTTATATTTACTGATCTATTGTTTTATAGTATATGTACTAAATTTATTCTCATATTATCTGTGTTACAATTTAACCACTAGTTGATGGGTGGCATGTACGTACATGCCATGGCTGTTGTGGACCGAAAAATGGATGGCAATGTATCATGCTCATTCCCGCGCTATTGGCTCATCAGACAGAGTTTGTTTTTCTCCGATAGTAACTTCATTGATATGGTAAAGACTTTAGGCAATGGCGCTTATAATGAAAGTAAACCTTCAAAATTATAATATTTTTATAAATTACAGCAAAATAAAAGCTGTTAGGTGCCAAATGTCGCTCGCAAACTACCAAACAAGCTGGGCGCAAGTGGGGAACTCCTGATGCCCGCCAACAATCCTATTATTACGTCCACTTGCCAAACATTTTCACCCGTCGGCATTGGGTTAATTCTCGAATATAGCTCTTGACTATGCTTGGCTGAAAAACTTGATGGAAAGTTTTTAACAGAAAGGATCATTATTGTGCCTGAGTGGAAAATTGACAATTCTCACAAAAATTGACAATTTTCAGGGGGGGGGGGGAAATGATGGAAAAAGGACTAGTGTGGCAGCACCTTTACTGGGACTTTCTTTTTTTTCTCTCTCTCTCTCTCTCTATCTCTCCTTACAATATATGCAGAATCATGCATATTCAGTGTTTTCAACAAAACACTTCTCAAAATATTCACTGAAAGAAAACATTTTGTGAAGAGAACTCAAAATTAAGGATTTTAACCAGTTTGATCCAGATGCTTCACTGCCATCATGTGACCCTAAATATAGGCATTAGGCTTACTTGAGCAGCCACTCTGCCATGTGTGCACTTGTAGGCTTAGGGCATAAAAACTCTTGTGTGTGGTGACAAAACTCCATTCCCCCCTTTGCAATATTTATTTTCTCTTTTTCTGCATAAGGGATTTTAGCTTTTTTGCCATCTGCCAATGTTTATATTTGATTTGATTTGCTTTATCCAGATGGTAATAGACTGTTTTCCTTATACAGACTCTATATCATCTTTGTAGGTAGTCCATAACTCTGCAACAATGATAACAATAAGTAACACTGTAATATTTTTGTCATTTTTTATTTTTTTTTATATTCAATATTCTCTAATACAAGCTGCATCCTGATCGTGGTGGCTGGAAATAGGATCCTGAACAAGGAAACGGTGCCCTCCCTGGAGCTGGCATTCTTCCATTCATGACTCGTTTATCAATGGAAATTATGCAAAAGCCCCTTCCTAAATGCACACTGAGTTTAATCACTCTCCAAGATTTTGTGGACTTGTGGCAAGTTATTCCCTTTGGCCACAATTCTCATGATAAGTTCCTGTTACCCTGGCCTAGTGACAAATTTTCCCATGATGTCATTTCATGTCACCTGCCCCTGAAGCCAAATTTTTCATGACATGATAGTAATTTCATCAGGATCATAGGGGTTAACAGGTAATTTCAGTGGGGACAGAGTCCGCTAAAAGTAGTGAGAGGTGCCTTGACGAGGGTAGGACAGTTTTTTCTGGGGTTAGATGGGTCAAAAAACTGTCTCAAATTTTTCCCTATTCTGTAGGGGTTAGTCACCA